ACTGACCTTCTGGTGTTTTGAGGAGTCAGTGAACTAACAGGTGGAAAGATCCTAGCCATACTATGCTGGCACATGCCAAATACTTCATAAAAATGTTTGCAGCTGCTGCCACCCCATCTCACGAAACCACGGATTTTCACTATTCCACACAGCCCTAGCAAAGGCATTCCCTTCCCTAGTCACTTACTTGAAGTATACTGTTTCCCCTGAGGGGAACTCCTGGAGGTCAACAGCAGAGTCCCCAGCTGGGGTCACTCCTAATCCTGATGAGACCTTGGCCTGTGCTCCCCTCCCCCCGTCGCCTGCAGCACTGTGATGGGTTGGGCAACCCCGGAAGACCAGACAAATGGTGCCTCTGACCCCCTGCTGACACTGCTCTCTTCCCTGGGGTCTCCCCACTGACGGTGTCTCTGTCTCTCTTCTGGTTCCCCAGTTGCCCCAGAGACATGGGGATGCTAAACCAGCTTCTCGGGGCATACTCCCTGTTTTCTGTCAGCACTGCGGTCCCTTCGCCTCCTCCCACTTCCCTGCCCCTTGGTTTCCAGGCAGGTTCTGCCACCCGGACTGGGCTACTGGAAGGCCGCCACGTTCCCTCCTCACTTTCAGGCCGAGGGCCAGCGCTGGGCCTTCCGATCAAGGCCAGGGTGGCAGCAGCCAGGCAGCAGGTCGCTTGGTAGTAACTCCTCCTATGCTTTTCCAATTGGCTTTAATTGAAGAAAAGAGTTCTTGGAGAAAACCCCTAATCTGCAGCCAGCAGGCATTCCTATTCCAAGGAGCATGACAGAGAGAAGCCCCTGCCAGCCGTCCTCCACACACCTGCCCTGCCACCAGGACACCTCATTACCCTCAGATCCCCAGCCCACCCCAGCCCACCCCCACTGGATGGAAGAAGGAACAGGGCCAGAGGAGAAGGCACAGGAATTACCCAGAATACCCCTATCTGACTAGGTCCGTAAGTATCCTTCCTACCAAGGACCCCCAGGACTTGACCTGGTCATCCTCCCTTTTGCTACCAACACCTCGGAGGGTGGGCAGGTGCCCTGGAGACATCTACTCCCCAGGCACCCCACCTACCATGCAGGAAGCCATTTGGGAAAATCTCTTGAAGGTGAGGCCCCTCCCTCTGGCCTGGCTCTCCTGGAGGCCCAGGGCCGGGGACCACTTCTGAGGTAACAGCAGCCCTGGAGTGCAGGACACAGGCCCCCAGTGACAACACCTGCTCATTAATCCAAGGTTTTCTTTCTGGAGCCTGCCTTGGCTTGGGATGGTGGGAGGAGAAGGCAAGCAGAGTCTGTTCCTCCCTTCCTGGCCCCGAGGTGTGAGGTGTTGACGAGCGTAGGCAGGTGGAGACAGGCCCACTCAGCCCTCAAAAAACCTGTGTAAAGCACTTTCTGCTCACGAGGCACAAGGAGGTGGGGAGTGTGTGGAAGAATCTAAAAATCTAGAAAACTTTGGCAGTGAAAGGGAATTGTTCCCGCATGCTAGAACCCTAGGCTTTGTTTCTGCAACTTCATTCATCAGGAAAGCCTATGAAGCATTCATTTAGGAACATTTAGGACTTCACTGTTACACGGCCTTTCTAAGCATATCTCCAAATGCTTCTTTTAAAACTCTGCAGTAGGATATAGTTGATGTGGGCAATCATTCCAGCTGAACCTAACTCATCAAAACGATGCAGATGAGGCAGGTTGCTTTCGAGGCTGTAAGTACATGTCCACTTTCAGAAACAAAAGAGCTTCAAGTGAGCCCTGGCCGGTGTGGCTCAGCAGTTAGAGCGCCGGCCCTTGGACTGAAGGGTTGTGGTTCAATGCCCAGTTGAGGGCACATTACCTGGGTTTTGGGTTCAATCCCTGGCCCCAGTTGGGGTCTTCAGGAAGCAACCAATCGATGTGTCTTCACCAAAGCCAGAGGTGAATACCTGACCTAAGCCTGCCAAGCAGATGTTCCCTGCTCTTGGATTAGGTGTGGAGGTGCAACAGGTGGAGTGTGTGGTGAAGCATCTTCTATCCAGGTCTATCCTGATGCCTAGAGACCTCGGGGCTGCCCTGGCTTCTGTCCTGAACTTGATGCTCCAGATTTGTCATCAGTGGTAGGAATTAGATACCTTGTGGCTATCAAAAAATGTCTTTCCTGTTCAAGATGGAGCTAGGATGAGTTCCATGGCTGGTAGTTGGAGGACCTGACTAATTGAAGTTTTTATGATTAATGCCATATGGCCCAATACTGTGCAGTTCAATCAAAATGTCTATGTGTTCAGCTTGAGACGTTTGCACAGGAGGTGATTGGGGTCATGGTTTTGGAGGATTAACCTGCCACCAGTTGGGTAGGTGGATGAGAATGAGCAGCAAGTAACACAGTCATTGCAGATGAAAGCTGAGAGGAAAATCCATGTTTATTGAGCTCTCGGGATGAGCGGTCCCTGTGTCAGGAGCTTTGTTCATTCGATTCCCACAATCCCAGAAGGCAGGCAAAAATCATCCCCACTTTATAGATGAGGACATTGAGTTTGCTTGGTTAAAAACATGCCAAAGGTCACTTGGCTGATGAACAGCAGAGCTGGGACTTGAAGTCAGGACTGTGAAAACTCCGAGCCTGGGCTTTTATCCAAACACCACCTTGCTGCATTATGAAAGAAAATTTATGGAAGAGTTTTCAAAAAGAACATGAGCAGCCTAGTGCCACCTTGGATGGAAGGGGCTGGGAGTGGGAAGAGGCAAAGGGCAGTTCATGTGTCAGCAGCCTGGGCACTGGGTGCAGGAGCTGTCCCGCGAGGGTGGCTCCTGAATGGGGGCGGCGGGGGGGACATTGGCTCCGCGGTGAGCATTTCTAAGTTGATGGTCAAAGCCACCAGAGGATAGTGTTCCAACCGAGTGCGGCGAGAGAGGGGTAGGGAGCCAAAACTGGGGCCTGGGCACCCCACAGCTCGATACTGGGAGAAGTAAAGGAGGCAGAGAAGCAGGCGGGCGGCCCAGAGAGCGGAGGACTCGGGGGAAGGCCGGGCCCCACCTGGCGGCTCGGGGAGGCGGGCCGGGAGGCGCATGCGCAGAGGAGCTGGCCACCTACCTGTACGCGCCCGGTTTCTGCCCCGGGGCCAGGACACGTGAGGGGCGGGTTGAGTGGTTGGTCTCGCTGGTCCCTGCAAACTCAGGACGCCAGCGTTCGCGCTGCCCGGCAACCCCTGTGCCGCTCACAGCAAAAGCAGCTGAGACCCGGAAAGGGGCGCTCAGCCCAGCTGTGGTCGGGGCCAGCCAGGTCTGGATCTCGCAGCTCTGCGGGGGTGGGGAGCCTGGGAGGTCTTCATTCTGGGGGGCTGGGGGAGGCTCCCACTGATCCCAGCAGGCAGCCCTTCCTCTCCCGCCCCCTCAGTAAAGGCAGGCAGGGGAAAACGTGTTTTTATAAATAGCTCCAGCCCCAGCTGATTTGTAAATTCAGTGGGTTTTTTATGTCAATGACATCATCCTCCTCCCCATGGCAACCCTCGACGATATCAAAATTGCCAAGCAACGTTGGAGCAGGTCGCTGCCTGAGGATTTAATGGAGAAATCCCAAAGTGAGCCGGGGTGCGCGGTGGAGGAGGGGCGCGCCGCGGCGGAAGGAGGCTGGAGCCCGCCGCCCGTGCCGCCCGCCAGGCAGCCGGGGGCCAGCGGGGGCTCCTGGGCCGCGCTCCCTTTGATAGCTCTGCTGTGGACAGCAGGTGGGGAGGGCACTGGCCCCTGCCTGATGTGCCAGGGCCGGAAGCAGCCATCCAGGTGACTAAGCTGGCCCACCGGCATTGAGTCACCTGCCGGCCTGGAGGTTTCTTTCTTCTCTTTTGCATCTGATTATTTGGGGAGCTGGAAACTTGGAGCTGCACCCGAGTCCCGCCCCGGCTAGCCCCCTCCCTACCTTGGGCACCGAGGAAGATGGGACCTGCTGAGAGTCTGCCGCCACTTCCTAAGGATATGGAAGACCCGGTGGGGGCTCGAGGTGCCCTGGGAGAGATGCCAGCCAACAAAGTGCAATAGCAGATATGGTGATCAGGCTGCTGTGTCCTCTAGAGGTGTCGGGAGAGAAGGGGAGTCTGGTCCATGCTGACTGGAATCCTCCGGGGCTGGCTTTGAACTCACCTCCTTCGAGATATTTCTGTAAATGAGTGGCTTCTAGGGTCAGAGTGGCATTTGGAGAGCGAGGCTGGATTGGCTTAGACTGGCCTGGGCAGGTAGGTGGCTCTGTGCTGGGTGTGGCCCCACGTGTGTGAGAGTGTGTGTGTCACCCCAGTGCTGAGGACAGCAGGGGGGTTCACAGAGAGGCAGGGATGGGGATTTGGCAGCAGCTCATCCCATCTGATGCGGGGCCAGCCTGGGTTCTGAGATGGGTGCTGTGGAAAGGACACGGAGCACCTGGCCCGAGCGGGTGAGGAGCAGCTCCGGCTCAGACAAGCCCAGGCCCTCTCTGAGCCCACAGCACAGACACACGACAGCATGCCAAGACAGGGAGTAGTCCACAGGGGCAGGCCAAGGATGGAAGCCAACCTACCAACGGGCCAGACAGCACACTGGCTGCTCTCTCCTGACAGCCCTGGGCACTAAGGAGGCAGCTTTCTACCAAGGAATTCTGTTGCTCGTCCACGCAGTGCCAGTCAGCATCTGTGTGTTCTCTGCCATGCTCACAGGGGCACGGTTCCTGAGAAGAGTGCTGGCCAGGACACCCCTTCCCCATACTCAGGACCCAGCCAGGGGCCACTGCTCGGCCTGGTACTCAGGCCAGAGCCCCTGGCCCCACAGGGCATGTTCCGGTGTGTGTCAGGCAGAGGGGCGTGGGCCCCCCACATCCCCCACACAGCTGGCAGCCTCACTGGCACACCGGTGAGTAAGCTGCCGAGGGAGGAGGCTGTGTGCCCACAGAGGCAGGATGACACCAACCAGGAGCCTTTGGGAGAAGCGGCTGGGTGAGAAAGGCACTGAGGTTTTCTTTTTCTTTTCCTTTTTTGTTTCCCTTTTCGCCTGAAGGGAGTGGCGCTTCCTGGGCTAGAGGCAAGCACCGACCTGCAGTGGGGAGCTCGAGGCCCAGCTGCCCGGAGGAGCAACCACGGTAAGGTCCCTGCTATCGACATAGGCTCCAGCTTCCCAGGCAGGGGTGGGAGTGTGGAGGTGTCCAGGCTATGTGCCATCTGGGACAGGGGTGGCAGCGATGGGTTCCTGGGGGCCCCATCCAACCTGCCACTTTCTTTCCAGATAGATATTGAAACAGCCCAGTCCAAGCTGGCCCCTGGCTTCCCAGCTAGAGGGAGAAATACTTATTTCTGCTGTTCCTGCTTGTACCTTCCTGTCCTGCTAGGCTGAGCCAGTGCCACCAGGATGTCCTCTTACCCTACCACCTCTGAGCCACTCCCCTCTGGTATTCATTCCACAAATATTTATGGAGCATTGTTGGGACCCAGGGTCCAAGTCAAGGCCTTATGCAGAGCTTAACTTGGCACAGACTCCGACTGTGGAACTCAGTGGCAGGCCGGGTTCAGGGGTGCCTGGCTGAGCACCAGTCCTCCTCACAGGCCTTGGGCTCTTCACTTCTGCAGGAGTCAGCAACCTGCTTTGCTCCAGGGATGTCAGGCCCAGTGAGCTTGGGGTGTTAAAGTGCTGGGGCCAACCAAGGAGTAAGGCTGACTAATACAGCATGGTTTGTTCTTTCCCTGGGGTCACACACCAAGGTCAGAGGGTCCTATGTGGATTCTTTTCCTAAGCTGCTTGTGGTGGGAACCGGGTTCTAAGAGATGAGGATAAGCTCTGGAATGCCTGGCCCTTGGGCCCCACAAAAGCTCATCTAGCTGGGAATAAGGCCTTTGGGCCAAGCAAGGGCTCCCCTCCGCAGGTCAGGAGTGGCAAACCTGGGAACCCTAGTGCCTGATCAAGAGTGGGTGGGCACCAGGAGCAAGGCTTCTGGAAGCATTTGATTTGGGTGAAAAGCTGTGTGTCCCTGCGAGTAGCCGCAAGGTGGGGGTGTGGGGGCTGCATGGGCCTTCTAGTTCCCCAAGGACAGATTGAGTCCTTGTGAGCTGAGCTCTCTAGGACGTGCCAGGCACAGGGAAGGTGTAGGCAGGAGGAGCACATGAGACCAGAGTCAGGATGAACCCCTAAGTGTCTCCCACTCAACTCATCCCCACACCTGGCTCCAGAACGAGGAAACCCTGCCTGCCCGCAAAAGGTGACTCCGAGCCTGGGGGCCGCCCGTGTGTGCAGAGCCGAGCAGCAGCTGGTGCCCAGCTGGGTTCAGAGTGGCAGAGGACGTGGAGTGCCAGACAAACAGCAGGCGAGCAGGCTGGCAGCTGATGGAGCCAGAAGGAGCCGAGGATGGGGACAGGGGACAGGGGACAGGAGAGGGAATACCTGCCTGGAGTTTTAAGATGGCTTAGGGAGGGCTCTGGACGCTGATTTTCTCATACCTGTCTACCTCTGTGGGATGACCAGGCAGGGAGTAGGCAGAGACGCTGGGAGACTGCATTCCTTCCCAGATGGCCCCAGAGACACCTCTAGCACACTCTGTCCTGGGTGTAGAAGGCCCGAAGGACTTGTTGGAAGCTGTCCTGTGGCCTGAAGCAGAGCCCTTCTCGTAGGATGCCCTCTACACATGAATGGGGAGGCCCAGGCCTCAGGAGCAGTTTCTAAGACTTGGGCAGTAGGAAGGGTGCTGCAAACCTCACCCACAGGCATCGGCAGCCTGCCCCTGTGAGGGCTTTGAGAAGAGAGTTCATGTCTGTGAACCTGCCTTGGTGGAAAGAAGTGGGCTCGCTAACAGGCTGGACTAGCATGGAAAGATGGAAGCTTTCGAGACAGAAAGAACTCTCAACCTGGCCAGCTGGCAGGTTCGTTCGCTCCTTGGACGGGGTGCGTGCAGGAGGCAACTGACTGATGTTTCTTTCACTCCCCCCACCCCCTTCCTCTCTCTAAAATCAATTAAAAATATTTCAATTTTAAAAAAACGATTAGCCAAGAGTGAAAACGCAAAGGAAGAAGCATCTTCTATTGTTGTGGGCAGGGAGATATACAAGTACAGGAAAAGGCAGAATGGTGGATGATTAACAGCAGGTGAATGTCAGGCCCAGGGCTGCCTCTTCCTGCCTGGGTGACCTCAGATAAGTTACCTCATCTCGCTAGGTCTCAATTTCCTGTCCTGTCCAAGGGGATAATTATAGTACCTATGACATAGGGATGTTGAGAAGATTAAATAAGGCCATATGCAAACACTCTTAGCAGTGTGGTTGGCACGTAAGTGCTCAGCAAAAGATAATGTTATTGTGATGATTATTAGTGTTAGAGGAACAAAGTGCCAGGAGGAAGAGGCCTCACTGGGGTCTTCAGGGGAACCAGAAAAGGCTTCATGGAGGAGGTGGCTTTGGAAGAACCCTTCCCTGAAGAAAAGCTAAAGCTCTCAGAATGCCAGTAGATCCATGCCTGATGATGCTGGGAAGAAAAGCAATACCAGATCCATTTTTTTCCCCAAATAGCAAACTGTTTATCCACTGAAGTTCTCTAAGGAATGATTTGAGCCTATTAAGAGTTCTCTTTTTTTTCTGAGGATCTAGAGTTTGAGGTCTTGAGAACTTGATGTGGACTGTATATAGTGAAGGAATCAAGCAGCCTGGTCAGATTGGTCACACTCTTCTTTGGGCCAGGAATCTTGTCACAGGGTGGCTGTGATTCCTTGAAGAACTGTGTACCAATGGCTCCCCTCTGAAGCACGCAGTTGGAGGTGCAGAAGGGCCAGACTGGAGACCATGGCAATCCCTTGACTACTGTGGCAGATGACTTAGAAATGCCCAGGAACCGTAAGGCTTAGACTCAGAGACATTTTCTTTTGCCTATCATTTTATGAATTTAGGAAGAATAATCCCAGGTTCTGTTCACCTGGGAACAAGGCAAACCCAGAACATGACAGACTTGCATATGCTGGGGGAATTAGTGTGCAGAAAAAAAAACAAGGGGTTCCCTCATAACTACATGGGGCCACATCAGCCTCAGCAAAGGGACACCCATCCTGGCCAGCATTTTCTATAAAACCTCATTATGATGCATCAGGCAATGCAAAGACCCAAGTCTTTACAGAGAGACAATGTACACCTTTTATGTACACCTTTGGGTTCGCTGTGGCAAAACTGCCCCTTCAGAGTGCTGAATCATCAGCAAATGCTGGCATCTTGGCTCTGGTTGGCCCAAGCCTCATAGCACTCAGGCCCCTGGGCCTCTGGCTAAGGGGTGGGACAGGGTTGTGTTCTGCACACTCAGGCTGCCCAAGACCTGGAGTGGGGACCTCTGGGTGCTCAGAAAAGCAAGTCCAGAAAGCTCAGATTAGCTGATGCATTATTCTGATCTACGATCCTAGAGTAGCAGCTCACCCCAAGGCAAATAGCAACAAACCAGTCACCTTGCTCAAGTCCCCTCCCCCCCAATCCCTGCCTGCCTGCCCCAGCTCCAGAAGGCTGCAGCAGCCGCAGGGTTAAAACTGGAAAGACTGGTTCTCTGGCCTGGAGCCTCCAGCCTCCATTTTCTTTTTTAAGCTTCAAGTGGAATTATGCAAAAAGGCACAGAAGGTGGAAGGAGCCAGGGGGCCGGTTCCTGCCACAGCCTCCCTGACTGCCCAGAGCAGTCCTGGGTCAGTGGGGAGAAGCGCAGAGGTGGAAAGGGCTGCCCCAGACAGGAGCTGGCTGCCTTGGATCACTGTAGCACATTCAAGCCAAAGGAAGTCCCTAAAAATGTTTCATCAAGCCCCCCCAATTTTTGAGAGGGAAGAAGAGCCCCAGAGAAGGAAAGTGGGTCCTGAGAGCACACAGCTAACTGCAGCAGAGCGAGTTTCAGGCCTGGGGATCCCTCACCCAGTCCAGTGCTCTCACCACCCAGACTGGCCTGGTGACTTGCTGGCCTGAGAAAGTAGGAGGCTGGACAGGTCCCAGCACTTCGCTGTGCCTCCTACCCTAACAGGGTCCTGTTCCTGCCACCCCACCCCCCATCTTGCTCCACATGGAGCCCCAGCTCAGCTCCTGCTCTGCCTACCCAACCCAGGCCTCTCTGAGTGTAAACGGGCTGACTCAAGTTCTACTCGCCCCAGGAAGCGTTGTGCGTTTAACCAGAAGGCTGTCAGTGTCTTAAGCCAAAGAAGGAGGTAATGATGAGAGTATGTAGGAATGAAAGAGAATTCTGGGGCAGAGGTTAGGGGAGGCATACAGAAAACTCTTTACCTCAGGTGAATCTTTCAACGGTATATACTCTGACCCCAGGCAGGAATATAAATGTCCAGTGGCCACCATCAGAGGTCAGATCTCAGAAGCAGGAGGCCTGTCATTTGTCACCCTGTCACCAGGCCCAACCTGGAAAAGAAGACTTCTGTATTGCACTAGAGTGGGTCTTGCCGGAGATGGTGGGCTGGGATCGGAAAGGTGGAGGTCTCAGGCCCTGGGGAGGCATGGAGCCTTGCCCAGGGCAAGGACTGAGCAAGGGTTCAGGGCTCCTGTGGAGGAAGGGAGGTTGGGACAGGAGGAGGAGCTGCCTTCTGACAGTCCTTTGGTCCTTTGCCTCAGCAAGGGCCCCGTGCCAGCCACTAGTGAGGGCATGGAGTGCACACCAGGCCCTTGCCATGTCAGCATTCACGCGAAGGTCCTGCAGGCTGCCACCCCTGGGCAGTCAAGGTGTGGACCAGAGACTAAGGAAGGAAAGGCCCTGAGAAGGGAGACCCAGCTGCCCGGGCCCCTCCACGACCCTCTAAGCATAGCACAGCACAGCCAAGTGGCAGGCAGGTCATGCTCCTGACACCGGCCTGGGCAGACACGGAAGGCGGAGTTCAGCGAGCTCTACAGCCAGGCAGTCCGTGCTCCCGGGAGACCACGCAGCCCGGAGCCTGTGATCTCTGTGCATTCACAGCTGGTGTTCCAGCCAGAGGTGTGGATGGGCCTTGGACAGCCAATGCTGTGCTTCCTCAGACTCGTTCCTTTCTCTGGCCTGAGCCCTCACCTGGTCACAAGCCTTCTACTCCCCCCACTCACCTGTCCTTCCTTAAAGTCAGGCCCTGGGCACCAGGGCTTGGGTGCCAGTCACAGCCCTGCC